TTCTCGAGAAGCTTTCAACCTGGAGCCACACTGCAACCCACAGCCTGTATGATTATTCAGCTGCAGGGAGGTCCTTTCAATGTTGCATGGTGCAGTATTTAAGAGAGCAGACTCTGGAGCCAGATGGCCTGAATTTGCAACCTGAAACCCTATTTTACTATCACCGAGACTACAAAAAATGCTTCAGTTTACTCATCTAATAATTAGGGATAATAATAGTGCCTACCTCAAATGTTATTTCAAGGATTAAATAATGTAATGCACGGGAAGCGTGTAAAATAGTGCCTGTCACACTGGGACTGTTTTTGTTAAATAGAATGAGGTTGCTCTCCAAGTCATCTCCTTGAGGTCTCATACTGCTCGGGGTTAAAAGCTAGCACCTCTGATCATCCTCCAAATGGTGGAATGGGAACACAGATGGGTATTAGTGTTCGCCAATGAAATTGCTTCTTCAATCTTTTCTCTGTCTCTGCAATGTGTCCCCACTTACATACACCACAAGCTAAAAGGTTCAAGACTCATGAAACTGGGTCCTACAATTTCCTTAGAAAAACAGCACATATAGGTTTGTCCCACACAAACTTTGTATATTTATCTTTTTCAAAACCTCAGTCAAACCTAAGATATGAAGAGTCTAACTGTAACCACCTGTTACATCTATGTAATATTCTTTGGGTCTGTCTCCCTTGACATTTCTTTTTCCACTCGGTTCTTAAATAACTTCTCACATGTCTCCTACTTTTATAATCCAGTTATATTCCCAAAGTATTCAATCTGTCACTAGCTGTCATCATTGTATTTTTGAATTATATTTAAATTTTTCTTTTAGCATTTTAGTATACCTCTTTAATATTTTTTAGTGGTTGCTTCAGATCCTTGATCTTTCATAGTCTATTGAAATTTAATACTGTACCACTTCATGGGAAAAGATGTAGAAACCTTGTAGTGTATTGGTCCATTACCAACCTCCCATGCTCCTTGCCGTAACTGTCATATGTATTATATTGACATATGGTATAAACTTCATAATTTGCTATCCATATGTAGTTTGAAGAACTTCCTTCAGCACTGATTGCAGTGCAGGTATGCTGTTACCTTATTTCTTTTACCTGTGTTTACTCTTGAAGGGTACTTTGCTGCATATAGAATTGGGTTCACAGTTACTGTTTTCTGGTCTCCATTGTTTCTAATGAGAAATCTTCGGTCTTTCAAATATTTATTCCTTTGCATGTAATATATACTTTTTCTGTACCTGCTCTAAATATTTTCTCTTTATCTTTGATTTTTATTAGTTTGATCATAATAACATTTAAGGATAGTTTTCTGTGTATTTATCCTATTTGGATTTGCTGAGATTCTTGAATTTGTAAATGTAAATCTTTGAAACAAATGGAAAATTTTCCACCATTATTTCTTTTAAAATTTTTCTGCCCAATTCTTTCTATCCTTCACTTTTCTGACTACAATTGCATGTATATTTGACCTTTTGATATTGTCTCACAGGTTCCAAAACTCAGATAATTTAAAAAATATAATTGCCTTTTATTACCCTGTTCTTCAAATTGTTGGCTAATTTCTATTGATACACATTAAAGTTCATCAAGTCTTCCTTTTCTCATTTTATATCTGCTGTTATCAACCAATAAATTGTGTGATTCAGAAAGTATAGTTTTCATTTATAGAATTTTCATTTTATTCTTTATTATAATTCTATTTTGTGTTTGAGATGTTCTATTGTTTGATTCATTGTGGGTATATTTTCCTTTGCATCCTTCAGCATGATTACAAGAAGCTCTTTAAGGTACTCATCTGATGATTCCAACATCTGAATTTTCTCATGGGTTGTCTCCATTAATTGCCTTTTTCTTGAGTATAGGTTATATATTTTTATTTCTTCATATGTCCAGTGATTTTTTAAATTACATTTGGACATTGTGAATGGTATATTGTTTTAGCAGACAGGAAAACTGGCTGGAATCTAACTTCAATTAAAAACATCAGTTCACTTTGTTAAGCCTTAGGTGAGACTCCTGAAGTCTTTCTTATGTGTGTTTAGTTCAAGAATTGGCTTGAGATGTGAATAGATTTCATACTTAGATTCTGAGCATTTTCCTCTCTGGTTCTCTCTTTTCTGAGATTTCTCCTCTCATGTTCCTGCTGCTATGATTTCCCCGAACTGTCTTCTGATTCTTCTAGCTAATAAGACTGATGATTTCTATATATTTTTAAAACTTATTATTTCAATTAGATCTTGCCCCTAGGCAAAAAGACTTCCAAAAGAAACAAGAAACTCATCCAGTGCCATTCCTTTGTTTAAAGTGCTGAAGACTTCTCCACTATCTGCCTGTTTGTGGTCACTCTCCTGTGCCTTTAAGTAGAAATTTTAAAAATATTTTATCCAGAGATTATATTTCTGTGGAAGGTTTGGCTTCTAATGGGTATGTCACCATTATCAGAAGCAAAATCAGACTTTGTATATTTTACATGACAAGGATATTTACTCACTGAAGATTATTCTCTTACATAGATGCAATAATTTCATATATCTCACTGAGAATATTAATTTCTGGAAAATTTTAATGATTTCTTGTAGTCATCCTTGTATTGGCAAGCATTTCTTCTGAACAGCCTCTGACTGTGAACTGCTAAATCTTGTGGTGATTTTGCTGAGGTGACAGGAAAGGTGTATCTTGTTAAATTGCAGAGTTAAATCAGATTATTTTAGAAACTATTACCTTAATGTGTTAGTACAGTTCTGAAATGGACTTGTCTCTTTAATCCTTAGGTGACTCTTCCTACAGAATTGTCTGTATCTTCAGCCACACTATACTTCACACAAATACCTTAAGACTTCTAGAAGATGAATTATTGAATCAGCCCCACCCACTCACCCTTTTTAATAGCATTCTACTCCATTTCCTCCTTATATTCACATTCCTTTGTCATTTCAGTGATAAATTTTCCAGAGGGTGAATGAAGGGTGTTCTATTTGTGACCTTGGGTACCTATCTTTTATAAGAAGTAATCGTGCTCTAATTCATTTTGGAAAATGCTTAAATACACTTTTCCTGCTAATTTGCAGAGTTCTGTGCATGGGTAGATAAAATACAGTCTTTAGGATATCTTTTAATTAAGTTTTGAAGGTATCTGAAAAGTTCATCACATGCTTTCACCCATTTGTGTGTCTATTTGTGGCTTAACCCCACGGTTTATGATCCCTCCTGTGTGGGTTGACGCAGCTTGGTTGGGCGGTTGTTGCTTGGGTTTTCTCATGCGGTTAAAGTTAGAGGTGCTGGGCTGAAGTCACCTGGCAGTTTGGCTGGACTGGACCTCCACGATGGCCTATTCACGCGGGAACGCGTGCAAGGCTGTCCGCCAGAGTTTCCTCATGTGCATCCACACAGGGTTTGGGTGTTTTATAACACAAGGGTTGGGTTCCCAGGAAGAATATTCCAAGAGCAGGTATCTCAAGACCCAGGGAGCAGCCAGGTAGGTCAGGGCCTTGTCTGGAAGTGGCCCAGCCTCACCGCTGCTGGCCTGTTGGTCAAAACGGTCCCTGTGCCTTCACCTTTTGAAGAAGTCATTTTTCACTTTGAGTAAAATATTTATTCATATCTATGTGTGTATATATACACATATATATGAGTTAAAAGTTCATTCATATGTATCTATAGTTATATATGTATAATTCATTCCTATATCTAGCAAAGTAATAATTTTCCCTTTTCTCCATGAATCACACTAGTATTATTTATTTATTATTTCTTTTTCTCTGTCCTATTTTCCCTTGGGTTAACAATACTGTTTGTGAAAGTAATGAAATTACATTTGCTTTAACTGTCATTCAGATTTTCTCCATTAGGCCAACCTTCATATTACTTTGCTATTTAAAGTTGAGATTCCATGTAGATTAGGGCTGTTGCCTCACTTCCCAGATCATTTTTTGGAATGGTCGGGTGACTTACGTGACATCAGCAGACCTCTTAATTGAATGTCAAGAAAGGCAGCTCCTATTGCCAAGGGAACCTCCAGCTTCATTGAGAAGCTTTCAATTAGATGGAAAACAGATGCTTAATTCTGTCTTATAAACCTTGATGCAGGTTATGTGGTAATTACTTTGAAGAGCAGGATGACAATTTATGTAATCAGCAGGACCCTATAATTACTAATTCATAATTTCTAAACAGCATTTAGCAAAATGAGGCCCATACATACACTTTGTAATGGAAAATATGTGTTTGACACCACACTAAATTAAATTTAGAAATTAGCATACTTTCTTCCAGGAAATGTACTAGCTTCATCTGCTCTATTTTGCTTCACTGATACCTGTTTTTAGTTCTGTGATAGGGTTATGGAAATGCTGAATCATAGTGATGGCTGAACAAGGGCATAAAAACCAGAAGTAGAGAAAGACTTCCTTCTCTGTTGTCTAGGATAATATAAGATCATTCTAAGAAATTATTTGGAAAGCTACATCTAGACAACTTGCTTCCCCTGAGAGTATTATATGAAGGTCATAGAATCATTTAATTTAGTAGAAGTGCTGGCAGAGAACTTAAAAATTATCTGTACTTACGTCTTTAGAATGGGTAAAAAACTGAGGCCCAGTAACATGATATTCCTTGTACAACATCAAGCAGTTGGCAGTAAAAGTAAGAACATATTCACCCAGTTAGTCCCAGTCCTTTGTGAAATCCATTCCACTATCCTTGGTTGGCTCATACAGAGTTAATGGTAGACAAACTACAGACTACCTTAGGCCCGCTGGTATTGAACACTTCTGTAGTAGTATTTTAAAATTCACATGGACATTTGCATTGCTAGCAAGTTTTCAATAGCAGGTAGAAAAAGCAGTAGTAGCAGATAGTAATAGCAATAGGTATGGCGTCTCCTGCCAATAATTTAAGTTCTCCATTTTAAGAAAGTTCAGTAGCAGTTACTTACATTCTCTGTCTGAAAGACCACTGGTGAAATTGCACACCTTGGTGAGTTCTTACCTACAGTTCCTGAAGTCCGGTCAGGAGGATTACCAATCTCCTCTTCAAAGCTCTGGACCTGAGACACCAAATTGCAGCAGTGTTGTTAGTAATGCTTTCGTAACGCATTCACTTCATTTATTAAAATGACAAATAGCGAGTGCCTACTGGCTGCTGCTACAAGGATTAAACATGGTTTCTGAACTCAATAGCTTACAGTCTGCTGCAGTCAGGTGGCATGCATGAGACACTCGAGGTGAGGACTCAAAGGACTAACGGAGTTCAGGAGAGCACCAAGGGAAGATCACTTGTGGGAGGAGGAAGGAGGCCATGCCTGAAACGTGGCCTTTGGAAATTCATCACTGAGCTGCTACACAAAGCTGAGCCCGCACAAAGAAAACTCAATTTCCAAACTGAGAGAGCAGGATTTATTTTTTTAAATTCTTTCAAGAAATGAATGAATACTACCTTAAGTGATAAAAATAAAATTATTGTTAAAACAAAGAAAATATTTCTTTAAAAATAATATTATTTACTATAGCACCTTAATAAATAGAAAAAGCTAAAGAATGTACAAACACAGTTACTATTAATATTTTAGAGTATGGATGTGCAGGTTTTCTTTTTAGTACATTTATTCTGGATATAGTTATGTAGTCATTTTTTTTTAACTCAGAATTTGAAGGAGGAACTTTGTTCTGACATCATAAAATTTCTTTGAAAACACCATTTTTAGTGACTGCACAATGGGCCATATTTTGAAGGTACATTAATTTACTTAATGAGTTTCATAATGTTGGAAAGTTTTCTAAATTTTGCAAATAGAAATAATGCTGAGTGGAATCTATGTCTACATGTCATATTATTTATTTGGGACTGAGATATGAATATTGAAAGCTGAGTCGGAGGATATAAGTATTTTCAATATTGTGGAACATTTGGCCAAAAATGACCTTTAACCAAAGAATAAACACAGGACCTGAGACTATACCTCAGCAATGTAAGAAGAAATATTTATTCAAAAGAAGTTACTTTATACTTGTAATTAATTAGACATACTTCTTAACATTACTTTCATTGGTTTTGTAACTGAAACTAGTGTGCATCACAGAAATTTTCAAGTCTAATATAATAATAAAACTATTTTGCTGTAACCATTATCATGGAGAAAAACAATCCACTTAATGCGATGTAAAGTATATGGTCAGCTATTTAAAAAAGAACAAAACCCCCAAAAGTCCCAATAATTTAAAATGGAAACCAGAGGTATTCCTGGATATTATGACTGAGCCAAACATAATAAATTTTAAAAAATTAAAAGTAAAGAAATAGTTATAACTTTTGAAACATTTCTCACCTAATCAAGATGACAATTGGTATTGTTTAATAATGTGGGTACCATTCTTACATGTGAGTTCTAGAGCAGGATCCCTCTATGCAAGTGAGAATAAAGGCTTTATTATGGATATAAAGAAGCATTCTACCTTGTCTACAACTGCAGAAGTTTTACAAATCTTAAATTCTCTCAATATATTTGGAAATTGGAAAAGACTCAGTTTTAGTAAGTACAATTAAATACAAAATATGTCGATTTTTACATTAAAAATTTGTGTGCAGTTTTGTTGGAATCATAATTTTTGAGAAGTAAGCCAATAGTTCCAAACTCAGCCTTCCGTAGGACTTTAGGGGAAACATCACAATTGATCTGAAGGCAAACTTTGGCCAATTCTCTTTGAAATTCTGATAGTTATGTAACTACATTGGCTTATGTTTCAAATGCCATGGCAATCTGCTAATTTCACGTGTGTTTTTCATTTCTTATTGTATTTTTAAACTTGCCATTGAAGAATGACTATTAAATTTGGCATTAGCTCCTGTTGAAGATGCAACCTCCCCATGCGTCACTCACTCACCCACTGCTACTGCGTGAAACAATACCACCCCCCACCATCTGTGTGCGGAGCATGTAATAGTTTAAATATACTTTTCAGAAAAGCAAAAGTCAAGTAGTGAGTTTCTTTTACACCATTTTGAGGGCTCGCTTTGCCTTACATACACATACAGCCTCTCCCACACACAAACCTAGGCAAATATTTAAGAAACACCATAAACAAGAATAGCCATGAAGTTAAACAGAGTAGTCTGTTTCCTGTGGAAGCCACCCACAGACTGAATTAATACTATCAAATACTTTTAATTTACTCATTCACAAATATTTACTGCATACCTACTATGTGCCGAAACTCATGTGAATTTGTTTTCTTTTATTTCTGTGTCTGGGTGTGTTCTTCCTTCCGAACTCTATGTTTACTAACATACAGCTTTTCTTTGAATAATTGTCATTTGAGAATATTTGAACGTGTACCATACAAGGACTGACATTTTTTCCTAGTTTTTTATGTTGAATGTGATATTCATCTCTCCCTGTACTCTTACATGGAGATGGCATTCTACCAACGTTATCTTCCTCTACCTCAGTCCAATTTGAAGCAGAAGTATAGTAAGGGGACAGTAGGGTCTAAGGAGGCTTGTCAATGGGCTGGAGTTTGGTGAAATTTGTTTGTATCCTAGGTAATAGAGCAGACTGGCAAATGGATTGCAGATTTTCTTCATAGTGATTTAACGATTAGCTTGGTAATTAAACAATCTTCACAACAGTAAATTAAAAGAAAATACTTTTTTAAATGCCACCTGTTTATCTTCCAATCAAGGTACTTGACCAAAAATCTGGTGTTTTTTTTTTTTTTCCATTTATAATTTTTGTCCACTTTTAGGCTACTGTTTTAAATTCTGGTGAATATTTAAGGTTCTTAAAATAACTTTTGATATGAACATATGTATACATACACATAAATGTATAGACATTAGGATATTAACAGCTATATATTTTCAGGCAACTTATGTATCTATGTGGGATGAGAAGGGTAACCAATAGGCATATTTATTTAACTCTTATTCTTCTTTTAAGGTTATGGTTAAGCCTTCCTTTCTATAAATTCATTGATCCACTCAGCTCCCTAGCTGGTTAAAAGCCCCTTTTCTTGCTCCCCAGATATCCCAAATCTGTCTCTATGGTGACAGTACGGGTTATTAGTACACCTGTCACTCTCTCCACCATGCTCTTGGTTTTGCGCCCATCCCTGCACTGCGGTTCCCTTAGGGCAGAGCCTGTGCCCCAGAGCCTACCAGGGAGCCTCACAGCAGCGGACTCAAAGGAGGGGTGGCGAGGACCTGGGGATTTGTGTGTAAATATCCTGCCCCACTTCTGGGAAATTTAATATGAAAAGGTGTGTGTGTAGGGCGAGCTTACTTTTCTGTACTGTCTTTGTAATTATATTAAAGAATAGAGATTAGTAAAAATGTGGATGGATGGATAGATAGATAGACAGATAGATATTTTTAAAGACTGAGCAGTGCAGGTGGGGATGTCATTTAAATAGGGTGAAATTCACATGAATGTATGAAGGTGGAGATTGAAAAGGCAGAGATGGTTGAAATGGGGGTCAAGCTATGTGAATATCAATAAATCCCAAAGCAAACTAACAAAATATTGGTGCCATGAAAATAAATACCAAGCCTTACCTACTTCTTTGTCCAAGGCCCGACATTAGTTGTCATGGGGGAAATAATTCCAAGACACACCCCCCTGATGACAAAACCCGGTCCTCAAGGAGCTGTTCTGGGGGCATGTCATTGACACACACACAGTCTCTACCACAACCTGCTCTCCCTGCCTCAGCTATGAGAATACAGAGGAGGAATTCACTGAGTGGGAAGTAGCTGAACTGACCCACAGAGGAGGTGAAATGTGGAAAGTTAGACTAGATAAAAGCATCTTAAGATGCATAATAAAACAGTGAGCAACAGCAAAGTCAGAAATAACCTGTGGAGCCTGTCTGGTGTGGCTCAGTTGCCTGAACGTCATCCTGTGCACCAAGAGGTCGTTGGTTCGATTCCTGGTTCGGGGCACATGCTTGGGTTGGCCTGATCCCCAGTGTGGGGCATACAGGAGGCAGCTGATCGATGTTTATCTCTCATTGATGCTTCTCTCTCTCTCTCCCCCTTCCTCTCTCTCTTAAAAGAAAAATCAATAAAATATATCAAAGAGAGAGAGAGAGAGAGAGAGAGAGAGAGAGAGAGAGAGAGAAATAACCTGTGGACTCAGGATGGGAGAAAGCAAAGGTTGGTTTCACATTCACTTAGTTCTGACTGAAGCAACTAGAATGATCTTAAATGTCCTAGACTAAACAGAAGTTTGAAACAATAGGACCTAATGCCAGAGGGTTGACAGATGAAGGGGTTGAATGAGGGCTGAAAGGCAAAAGGTGCTTTGATGAGAGTTAGTCCCCTTAGAAGCTGAGCACCTGGGCACAACACTGACCTCTTCCATTTCAAAGGAGTCTGGTGCTTTGTTCGCACTCGATAAGCTCTTGAACTTGTTAGTCTGAATGGAGATTTCTTTTCCAGTTCTGTCCTTGACTGACCCCTTAGACGCACAGGAAGGAGGAGCCTGCTTGGCTAGCATGGGTGGGTAAGGCCACCACTTTCTCAGAAGAGGTCGGGGAGGATGACAAGGTATCAGGTCATCAGAGGCTTGGCGAGACTGATGCTCTGCTGAAGAAGACAGATGACTTTGTTCAAGGTCATTTGCCATCGCTGGTAACTGTGCTGAATATCCTCCTGGCTTCGCAGAGGCGACGAGAAAGTCTTCCCTCTGCTTCAAGGACTCAGACACCTCTGAACTACCATCTCTCCTAAGGTTCTGCTTTGAGGTTCTGCAAAGTTCATCCACTCTTCTTTGATGTTCTTTGGTTCCGTCCACTGAGGTTCTTTCCACACTTTCTTCCCCGTCTTTCTCTCCAGCTTTGCTCTGCCAGGTGTTAACATCACTCAGCAAAGACGAGAAGGCGCTGGCCACGTGACCCAGGATCTCCAGCTGCCGGAAACGGCCTGAACAATATGACAAACACACACGGTTTTTTGGGGTCTTTGTAATGAACCTGCAGGAAGGTAGTCAAAACTGAAAAGGTGGGTTAACACATGCGGTTTTCAAGATGGGAAGGACTTAAGCTCCTGAAACTCAATTTTCTCTCCGCTACTCTTTGCTGCTAATTACAGTGGAGTCGCCTCCCCTGCATAATGAGACATCCCTGAAAATGAAGACCTTTTATATTCAGTTGTACATGCATAACTAGGTAGACTCATATATGCCAATTGTTAATTATGTGTTAATCCATAAAATCCATAGGCAAAGACATATTTTGGGTTTAATCTCGTGAATTAAACTAAATGTCAAGAAGTGAACCCACTTCTTTCAGACAAGATGAGCTTGAGTTTCTTCCACTGCTTTAGGGAGCAGACACCCTGAACCTCACCTCCATCCTTTCCATCTATTATCACCCGAGAGTGTGAACAGATCATGGCGTATGGAGTCAGAAGGCCTGGATCCCAAGTCCAGCTCCACCAGACCACACAGTAAGTGAGTTAATCAATATGTGCTGCTTAGCTTTGTGCTGGCCACATAGTGAATGGTCAGTTTCCTCATCTAGAGAATGGGGGTAAGAATACCTGTCTTGAATATTATCTCATATCTGTTGTAAAAAGCGCAATGTCATAAAATATAAGTTGTTAACATTATACATGTGCGAGACTCAGGAAGAAAATACATTGTCGTCCGTCTTTGAAGAAATGATCATCGTTAACATGAAAACCCATTTGCCTTTCCAAACAGACCAGCTTCTTAGCTTGTGAGTCTTTATGAATGATCGGGCCTCGGTCATTTAGGCAATATGCCAGCATTGATCTAAATTGCAATACGAGAGAGATCTAATGCAATGAGGGCTGATTTGGAGACACATTACCACTTAGAAAAAAATGGTGAGAAATACTTTTGATATCAACGATACCAAAAGCCATGGTGGTGGACACAGAACATTTTGTGTTTTGACACAGGCTTCCCTCAACCCCCGTGGTCGCATGTGGGGTTGCAGAGCCCTGGAGGGTGAAGGCCACGTGGGTGGAAGGATGATGTCCTGTTCCTGCCGTCGCTGCAGAGCCACTGACTCTTCCATGAGCACCTCCCTGCGCCTGTTTCCTTCGCCTGAAGGGGGAGCCACTGACTACCCGCCTTCTACCCCAGAACCGGGGAGGGGCTCTCACAGAGGGCCGCGGTATTCACTCAAGACCTGGAGGGAATCTTGGCTTCTGGGTGTTTTCAGAAGCATTCTAACTACGTCTCACCTCTAAACTCAGCTTCAGTTGAAATTAAATCTCTTTTGTCAGCCCAAGGGTACAACCGAATCCTAATTCCACCTTCACGACTGTCTCCGTGACCATCCTGGAGCAGATTTTTAGACTGAGACAAAGACCTATCAATTTAGGTGGTTCAGTCAGTGCAGAGAGCTCAGTAGCAAGACACCTGGGATGCAGGGGCTTGTTTTGCCTTTGGGTAGATGGACCAGGGAACCCCTGATTCTCATCCCCTCAGAGTTAACCTTTTGTATCGACTTTGAATGAGACAGACTTTTTCATTCTGTCTTTAGAAAAACCAACTAATTTTATTATTCATTATTTTACATATGGCCTTCCCAGCTTTTTTGAGTTGAAAGTGTCCTGTAAGTGTCGAGAATGGTTACCTTGCACCATCAGCAAAGAATAAAGAGGTGGAAATAAGAGTGGACCAGGGGCCAACTCCTGGCTCCTCTATGATCCATGTGTCAATTTTGTCTGTAAATGTTGACTTAGATCAGCTCAAATACTCCTCAGATACTGGTAGGTGTTGTTATTCTCCTTAAATAAAGACTAGATCAAAGAACTTGGCATCTCCGTGTGACTCGGAGGAGATGACAATAAGTGATATTACTTTCTTCTAAAAAGTAAAACAAAATAAAACATTACATCGCAACACCTTCAGGCTTACACACTCTAGAAAATCGCATTTCTGAGAGTTTTAAGACTCATTTCTCCCACATAGAAACAAGGGAAACAGAAACTAAAATAAAAAAACCTAAGAGGTTTGTTTGAGAGAAACACTGTATCTCACGTTCCTTTCAGTGAATTTGTTAAAAAGCTTGTTTCAGCCCCGGCCGGTTTGGCTCACCGGCTGGACTGAAGGGTCGCTGGTTTGACTCTGGTCGGGGGCAAGTACCTGGGTTGCAGGTATCCCTGGGCCTGACTGGGGCTGTGCAGGCGGCAACCAATCGATGTGTCTCTTTAAACATCGATGTTTCTCTCGCTCTGTCTACATCCCTCCCTTCCACTCTCTCTAAAAGAAATTAACATCAATGGAAAAAAATTTAAAAGAACTTGTTTCAGAAACAGAATCTTGCCATTTTCTTCAGTCCAGAATTCTACAAAATCCATGCCATGGAGGAGATGTTCTTCATTGTTCTCCAAGAGAGTGTCTGTATTTAAATGATTCTGAAAATGCTGCCCTGCATCCCCGCGGGGAGCCCGACAGCGCGCCGCTACATGTTAAACAAGCCCCGTGATAAACAAAGCTGTTTATCTGCACATTCCCCCAGTTCATTGAAGCACAGGACACGTATCCCAAGGACATCCTTAGTAATGTCCTAGAGAAGAGTTTTCCATTGCCCACCAGCTAGAGGGCAAGAGCAGGCCTGGTAACCAATCATGGAGATGCGGCAGATGAACAACCGTCGCATCGTTATTAACGACAGGGAACAAGTAGTGTTCTAAGCCTCATAGATGAGGAAATCAAAGTTTCACCTAGTGACTCATGCTAAGCCTTGTCAGATCCCTGGCTTCTTGCCTCCTGGTATGTATCGGTGCTGTCAAGCTGTCGCCTTGCCAATCTTCTTCCTTCTGGGCATAGGGTAGGGTCGCTCATTCCCAACCATTTGGCGTTGTGTGGCCGTGTGACTCATTTTGGACAGCAAAATCTGAGTAGATCTGATATGTGTATTTTCTGAGCAGAAGGATGTGAGAATCCAGTATGGCTCTCCATTTCTACCTTTCTCTGTCATTACAACCAGGGACGTTCCAGATGGTGGGGTCAAGTTCATGAATAAGGACAACGTGGAACGTATCTCCCTTCCCTCAACATATGCACCGACCTGCAGTGGACACGAGAGTGATCAAGATGCAGACGGCTCTGTTTCAAGCCACTGTGCACTTTCCCAGACCATTCCTCCTACACCGTGGCTCATCTCACAACTCCTGTGTAACTGCAGAACCAGCTCAAAGTGGTCTTATTCTGTTTCTACCAAGACACTGGGTTGTTTTGGGGGGACAATGGAACAAAACAGCATTTGGCCAAAGCATGTGCAGAGGAGTGAAATTTGGCCTCACTTGGGATCAAAGTCTCTCCACCCCACGAACCAAAGGTCTGGGGCATAACTGGAACCTGAGTGCCAGAATCCTCTCGGAAGTGAAAGGTCCCTGTCCAGGAATCCGGTGTTGAAGCCCCTTGTCACGTCTCACCATGAATGGCCAAGTTCCAAAGCCCTCCAACTGAGACTGGCCCCGGCCAGTGCGTTTGTACACCAGCAGGTTCCCCTCAACCCCTTCGATATCTCTTCAAACCCTGAACGGAAGACAGTTTGAGCTCTGCCTCTTGTCTCCTTGCTGGTCAATCTCACAAGAAAGTCTTTTTCTTTTCTTAAGAGCCAGTGCCATAGCATTGGCTTCTAGGAGCACTGGGCAGTGAGCACTTGCTCGGTAGCGATTGCCGTCGCTGGGATTCGGGTGGCGTGGGGGCCTCACTTACCATACAAGTTAGGGTTCTCAATGTCCATTCGCTGCTTTTGAGCTTCAAGAAAAACATGGATATTGATTCCCCTGGCTGCTGAGTCACAACCCAGGAATCTGTCTGGAATTTTTATGCAGATGTCTGGCTCGTCAGCACCAAACCCCAGATCCAAGAGAATCTCCGCTGCATCTTCTTCCCAAAATTCCAGCCACTCAGGGATGCTGCAGGGAAAAATATAAATATCTACCTCCAGCAACAGTTCACTTACCCATAGCCATTTTTCCTAGTCATCTCAACATAAAATACATTCACCTTGTTCAAATTATATTACAACTAAGGATCTCTCTGTCCTTGGCCATCACCCCCACTAATTCTAACCCGCTTGCTGCCAAATGTGTATGTACTTTTGCAGATATTTTTCTAGGTGGTTACATACATGCATTACAGTTTTCATGTTTGCTTTATGAGTAGTAACATCCTCTATGTATCTTTTGGCATCTTGCGTTTTTCTCCTAAAAAGATGACTTGAAGGTCATAAATTAGTGTACACACACACACACACACACACGCACACACACCCGTTCATTTTGTCACTGTATAGAATTCCATAAAATGGGAGCCAATGCTTTACGTGACCATTTTTCCATTGACAGACATTTGACCTGCATCACTTGACCCTTTTATACTCTTCCTGCAAGTTGGAGTTTAGAAATCCTTATCCATCCTCTCATCCACCCATTCACAAATTTCTCAAAGGCCTGCTTCTGATTTCATGAAACCCACCGTTGCCCAGGATGATTTTCCTGGCTGCGAAGCGCCTGGAAATTGCATACCTTTGTGGGAGACTTGTAGCAGAATAGCACGAGTTGAAACTGGTCCCTCTGGACAGGGTGGGAGTTTCTGAAAACTGGTGCAGAGATCTACAGTGGGGGAGGGGGAATAGCAATGATGAGCTGTATCCATTTTGATAGTCCCCTGGACGTCATTGTCAGTCTTTCCCTTCCATCCCCTAGTCATTTCCAGTTACCCCACAGTGGCCACGCCTCTGAGGGAGGGGGAGGTGCTGCTCCCCTTTCCGAGAGCGCTGTGTTGCAGAAGGTGTGAGGATCTAGGTGTTAGGTGCCCGCCAGTGCTCATTAGGAAGGTGACAGCACGGCTCACTCTTGACAGATGGCAAATCGTTGGGGAACCTTTCGGGAACGATCTTTGCTAGGCACTGACTTTCGGGAGGAAGTTAAAATGATGAGAGAGGTGGAGCGAGCAGCCGCAGAAGCGAGTCCGCACGCACTCTCATCACCACCACGAGGGGCTTCCCAGCGCACTAGCTTTCTGAGCTCCTGCAGGCTCCTGGGACGACCACGTGGAACAGTAACATGCTCCTCTCCTGCCCCTGCCCCACAAAGCAGCTCACTCTGTGCAAAGGGGCCCGCTCGGCAGGTCATTCGAAAGCATTTCCCAGCCAAATGGAACTCTGTCAGCTGCACTGTAGCTGCATCTAGCCTCGTCAAGTATAACCGCCAGCTGCACAAAATTAAAATGTATCAAAGAATACAACACAGATAACAGTTTTCCCAAGGAGACCGAGGTATCCTGCGTGCAGCTCAATTTGCCTCAGTCCTGTCCATTGGTAACAGCAGTGGGGCCCCGCCTCTTTGTTCACTGCTTCTCTGCACTAAGGCCAAGAACACGCCTGTCTGAATGACGACAACACCGTTTCAGTGGACAGGGGGCCTTGCAGACGGGCAGGACATGGCCTCTCACTTCCGCTTCAGCTCAGTGTGTAAAGCTGCTGTGGTTTCTGTTTCACTTGGGTTTGAGGGTCACCCCTTATTTTGTAATGTCCAGCAGAGCTACCCAACGCTGATCTGGCCTCGAACCGGGAGAAGCCCGGTGTCATCCCAGTTCTAATCCAGCCACGAGCACGAGGAAGTCACCAACCCTGGCTCAGTTTCTTCTTCGAAAATGAGCTGCCTGAGTATCACAGATGCAATGGGTCTGGATTACTAGCGCTTTAAGAGGGGGAGACTACGACAAATAGTGTTTTTGGTATGAATCGGTAGGAGTCGGGAGATACGGTGTTGAGTATTTGGTTTTCAGCTCATTGGAATTAGCCTGAGAACACAAGAGTGGCTGATGCCTGGGAATCAGTTCCTGACCTCCAACAGCTCAGGGTCCAGTTCAGTGGTCCTTAAACGAGAGTGTGCCCGGAACCATCAGAAAGCCTTGCAAAAACGCCAATTTCTGAACTCCACCCAGATTTTTTAATTCAAAGAGTCTGGGGTGGGCATACAAAACGTGTCCTATGAAGTCCTCAGGGGATGTGGCTCTGGCGTTGGGGACCACTTTTGGACCTAGTCAATCCTCAGATTAAGAGACTCTCACCGCTTTCCATCGAACATTGGAAATTATACGTGTCACTGTCCAGCAAGTAGCATGATGGTTAATTACAATGGCAATATGAAAATATGAATGTAACTGTTTTATGAACAAGTCTTTATGAACAGTTCAATTATAGTAGAATGCCATTTACACACGCTTTAATGAAATCCCTCCCCCAGCTCAGCATTTGTTGATTTAATTTACTCACTCTTTTATGGAATTTTAAGAACCTCTGTTTCTCTCAAGGCCAATGAAAACAGTCTAGGCACTGAGGCTAAACCAGTAACAAGTTCCCAAGATGCAGGTCATTATTAAGAAACCCCTCATTGCTACTTCATTTATGAGAGATGTGGCCATAACATACTGGAGTGGAGAACCGATTCTGCTACCCACCTCCTGTAGTCTTTCACCATCACGTGACCTGTTCCTCCTTCAGGCGAAAAATCTGCAACAACAACAACAAAAACGGGGGGTGAGACGAACTCAACTTCCTTTCAGCTCGTGGAAGATTTTCTCATCGGCAGATGAACCAACGTGCAATTGACCGCCACGTCCGAGACCGCGTGGGCATGAGAGTCAAGGCATCATGTAGTGATGCGGACAGGCGTACTTCATGGCTAAACGGTGTGCCAGGCCCTTGGAGAAGCGTGGTCTTTGCTCAGTGAAGGGAAGTCTGTGGCGAGTGGGGGAGTCAGCAGTGATCGTGGCAAGAAGCAGCACTCGTGTCAGGTTTTGCAGAATGGAGAGAATCGGGTTGTTGTAGAAGGGGTGTCGCCATGAAAGAAGAGTGTCTATAGCAAGGGCAAGGCTCAGGGGCGGGGCTGGTCAGATGACAGCAGGTGGCATTTTGGAATTCTCTCTTGTGGCACATGGGATGAGAAGCAAGGTTGGGGACAGGCCTATGACACACAGGAAGGACTCAGAGTTGACTGAGCATCTTGCACTCCTTTGTATCCTCTTACCACAGCCTAACAATTCACGACCCATCCTTATTTTTTAGATAAGAAAGAGGAGTCTCACACAAGTTGAGTAATGAGCCCAGATCACACAGTCAAAAGAAGCAGATCCAGTAATTTATCATTACTTTATTTTTTGTTATAGTAATAATATTACTATTTATTTAGTCTTAACTTTGTGTGAGGCAAAGTGCTAAGTATGTTACATGCACGATCTCTCTTAATTCTCACAAGTCCATGAAATAGGTATTATTAATCCCCACGTAATAGAGGCAAACTGAGGCTCAGAGGGATGAAATAAATTTCAATGGCCTGTAGGATGCCACGGCTTATTTATGTATTTATTTTTAGAGAGAAAGGGAAAGAGAGAAACATTGACGTGAGAGAGAAATGTGGGTCATCCGCCTCCTGCACACCTCCTACTGGGGGTGGAGTCTGCTACCCTGGGCATGTGCCCTGACCGGGAAAAGAACCGGGACCTCTCAGTCCTGGGACGATGCTCAATCCACTGAGCCACACCAGCAGGGCAACCACAGCTTATTTTACTGGTTGTTGTTTTGTTTTGTTTTTGCAAAATACCGCAGTGCCAACAGAATGTCTCATAGCTTATTTGAAAGCCAGAACGAGGATTTACATGTGTAGGTCAGGCCATGGAAACCCGCAGGAGGCTTCTGAGCAACTAGAAATGTGAGGAAGATGATGCTGAAGGTCCATTTGCCTGATTAGTGGTGCCAAGGACAGAACGTAACACTGGACGTCAGAGTGGCCCACTCAGGGCCTTTGCATGTTCGGAACCTGTGTCCCGACAACTCAGCACAGACGTCCGTGGAGGGCGATACGCAGAACACGAGCAAGTTCTGCAGAAGGCTCACCAGTCTTCCCGTGCCTCTCACTTGCGGCTCCTAGGTGCAAACGGTGACTGTATAAAACTGGGAGCTGGCCCTGCTGGTTTGGCTCAGCAGCTCGAGTGACAGCCCGTGGACCAAAGAGTCGCAGGTTTGATTCTGGTCAAGGGCACGTACCTCGGTTGTGGTTTGTCCCAGGCCCTGGTCGGGGTCATGTGGGAGGCAGCCAATCCATGTGTGTCTCTCGCATCATTGTTTCTCTCTCTCTCCCTCCCACACTAGTTGAAAACAAATGAAAAAAATATCCTTGGGTAAGTATTAAAGGCAAATAAAATAAAACATAATAAACAAACAAAAACACTGGGAACAGTTGTCATCCTGCATTGCTAAGAAAATGTGAAGTTTTTCGCTATAACACAGAGAAGATAGGTTGGGAGAAACTGGAGAAACAAACCTGAATGACTGAGACATATAAAAGAAGCCCGAAAAGAATGAAGGGCTCTTTGGTCTGGAGCCAGACTTCTTGTCTGGGAAGGGGGTTCATGAATAGATCTCAAGATATCCGTGAACATGTCTCTGATGCTAAAGTTTAGGGGTGGGGATAAAAATGCCCATAGTTTCAGCTGTTTTTTCAAGGCTCAATGACCCTGCGGATGGAAAGGAACACTTGTCTAGGAAGAGAAAGACTAGAGGAATACTACGGACGTGTGAGCCAACAGCGGATGCGTAACTAAACCCAGGACACACAGTACAATTTAAAGAGGAGGTGAGAGAACAGATAAAGTAAATGTCTGCCCTGCAAAACAAATAAGCTCTTACAGCACAAGAACCACATGGGGTGACAAGTATCAATGGATGATAAAGGTTTAAAAACAGAGTAGCGATAGACGGCAATCCGTTCCCACAGCAGACATCACGAGTCAGATACAGGACTTTCTCATAGAGCCTGGACAGGCTCTCAGAATCGCCAGGAAGGCCACAACGGGTGGAATGAAATGAAGCTTATTTGACATCGTTTCTTTAGAATAAACATCACGAGCGGGTTTTTGAGAAAAACAGTAATTTGGGGACCGTGTCTAAACTTTAGAAATTGCTAACTTGGAGAAAATATGTAACTGCTCATAAAACATCCTAGGGAGCCACCACCAAGGATGGAAAGTGGAGGCAAATGATCATTATTATGGCACAAATATGACATTTTTCAAATGTTCCATGTGGCATCTGGTGACGGATGTTCATGTAAGTCAAAATATCTGACTCAGACCTACGTACCAAGTTAGAAATGCACTAAGAACTGCAACCCTAGTCTTTTTTTGGCCTATTGCATCAGCGGTTTTAAAGCTTTGGGTTCTAGCTGAGACATTGTTTTAAAGGATTGAAATAGTTTACATGGATCAAAAGGGAGCTGTTCCGACGGTGCTGTCCCATACACTCTTGCTTCACCCTGGGAGGCACCTCCAAGCCCCAGAGTCTAAAAAATACCTATTCGGTGCCAGGTGGCATCACTCCTCCCCCCCCCCCCAACACACACACACAGCGCTCACTCCCTGCGCTCAGCTCCACTCGGCTTCTCGCACCAGAAAGCCCTTACCAATGACTGACGTTGTCACGTGAGGGAACGCCCGTTTGCCACTTTATTAACCATGTTATAGACGCAAGCACTGTGTAATTTAAAAAAAAAATTTTTTTTCCTTTATTGATTTTAGAGAGAGAGGAAGTGAGAGGGAGAGAGAGATAGAAACATCAATGAGAGAGAATGTCGATTGGCTGCCTCCTGCATGCCCCCCACTGGGGATGGGCCCACAACCTGGGCATGTGCCCTGACCGGGAATCAAACTGGCGACTTTTTTTTTTTTTCTATATAACAAACATTAATTTATTAATATAGTAATAAAAATTAAGGGAGGAGAAATGGTGGTGTCAGTTAAACAAGAGGGAATTGAAAGAATACTTGCAATTTAAAAAATGGGTAGGGAGTGGCCCTGGCCAGGTGGCTCAGTTGGTTGGGGTGTCCTCCTGTACACCAAAATTGTGTGGGTTCAATTCCCAGTCAGGGCACATACCTGGGTTTCTGATTTGATCCCAGGTTGGGATGCACAGGGAGGTAACCTATTGATGCTTCTCACATTGGTCTCTGTCTCTCTGTCTCTCTCTCTCTGCGACTTTTTTTTTTTATCCTCAACCAACCAGGGCCGGGGACAAACTACAACCGAGGTACGTGCTTGCCCTTAGCGGGAACTGAACCCGGGTCTCTCTGGACCTCAGGCCGACGCTCTAACTGCTAAGCCAACCCAGCCAGGACCAAACCGACAACTTCTTAGTGCATGGGTCGACGCTCAACTACTGAGCCACACCGGCCGGACTCACGGTGTAATTTTTGACAGTCATACTGGAATGACTTGATGCCATAGTAAATTAAATGAGTTGCCCAAAATGGAAGGTAAAGTAAATATTTATCTATTTTAAGCAATTTTTTATTTTATTTCTCCCTGACCTCCTTCCTTCCACTACCACCTCCGTCAGCTGCATTGCATGGCACTCAGGAGGGCAGGTTCCATGTGCCTGGTGAGCTGTCCAGAGAATTCTGCAGCTTCTCAGCACCTCCTCCCTCCTGGAACATTCCGAGGCTCCACACGTCCTGCCAGGACGACCCTCCTCCCCCTGCCCCGGTCTCTTCCGCTTGTCTGCTTGCTCTGGACTCCTCCACCCCGCGAATGAGTGTGTGCACCAGACCAGGCCCGCCACTGTGGCCACCGCGAGCTGCTCGCACTGTCAGAGAGGAAGCATCCATTTCAGATACTGATGAGAAGAGTTTGCTCAGCCTTGCTGCAATTTCAGAGACCCCCGCCCTGCAGAATGTCTGGTCATCCAGAAGCTTGTGCACCCAGGGCGTCCTTGTGAGAGTCCGTGCCACACTCTGGGGACCACACCCCACGGCCCTGCCACCCATGTTCAGAAGCAATCTGGTTGCCAGGAAACCAAGGGGAGCCCCGAAGAGGCAAAGAAGCCCCTACAGGCAACATGTTCTCCAGGGAATGTGCAAAGTGGAGCCAGCTAGGTCACGAGGAGGGGGTTTCTCATCTGACGACACATACGAGAGCCGTACAGAGTTGTAACGCCCACTGGAGAAAGGGCCCTCTGCCCTCCACTTTACAGCTCCCCAGGAGGCCCAGCCATCGCTGACCCAGAGGGGATGGTCGAGGTGACTGAACCCCTCACCCAAATCCCACAGATCCAGTTTTCTACCCTTTGTTAGACTCCTTATCTACTTTCTTCTTGATCTTGTTTACAATGACACAAATGTCTGTCTCTGTCTAATACATTCAGACACAGAAGCCTTCCCTACTGCCAAGCTTAGACTTTAGAGAAAACCAAGCCAGGGAAAATCAATATGATATATATATATATATATATTTTTTTTTTTCAGAAGATAAGCCTGTTTTAAAAACTGTAATAAAATTATTAAACGTGAATTTGGTTCTTCGCTCCATTTCCTTTTTGCATTTCTGGGCTCCCCGGGTCCAGGAAAGTGGCGACCGACCTCTCAGCACGTCCGCCTGGTACTGGGGAGCCTCGCGCAGGGACCGTAGCCTCGCGCAGGGACCGTGAGCCTCGCGCAGGGACCGTGAGCCTCGCGCAGGGAC